CCCCGCACTTATGCGTCCTCTTCAATGCCTCCTTGCATTCCGGTCGCCTACCGAAGCCGTTCAAACACGCCCTGGTAAAGCCGCTTTACAAAGCAGGGGACCCAACAGTCGCCACTAACTACAGACCTGTGTCATTATTACCAATTGTTGCGAAGCTGCTTGAAAAGGTAGTACATCGCCAGCTTGCAAGGTTCCTCGCGGCAAACGACGTGCTGCCGACCACGCAATTTGCATACCGCACAAACCACTGCACTGAAGACGCTTTGGTACTCCTGACGGAGAACATTCTCCATGCAAAGGACGCGCGACTAGCCAGTGGTGTGTGTTTGCTGGACATGTCGAAGGCTTTCGACAAAGTCAAGCATGACATTCTTGTACGCGATCTTTTCGAAGTTGGCCTTCACGGCACTGCACTCCAATGGTTTGCAGACTACCTCGAAGGACGCACCCAACAAGTGCAAATCGCTGGATCCATTGGTGTCAGTGGCACATGCTCATGTGGCGTCCCGCAGGGTTCCGTTCTCGGACCCGTGCTTTTCAACATCTACACCAGGCATGTGCCCACCATTGCCAGTCCGTCCATCTCAGTGCAGTTTGCTGACGATATTGCTCTCACGTTCAGCCACCCTGATTGCCAGGAAGTATCGCGAGTTCTAACAACGTCTACAACCGAGATTGCTAAGCACCTCCAGGAACGGAATCTAATCCTGAACACTAGCAAAAGCCATGTGCTGCGAATTTCCGGCCAAGACATTACTGTCAAATGCCGTGGAAACCCGCTACCAGCAGTTCCCCATGCGAAGTACCTGGGCATCACGATAGATGAGCACGTTCGATTTGACGAACACGTTAACAATGCTGTGAAGAAGGCCTCGCAGAAGGTGGGAGCACTCTGGAGAGCCCGCCGTTGCCTTACAAGAAAGTCCAGAGAGCAGTACGTGAAATCCGTTGTGATGCCAGATTTGCTCTACGGGTCCGTGGCGTTCTCTGGGTGCCTTCGACAAGACCAGCGGTCCCGCCTTCAGGTCCAGCAAAACCGTGCGGCACGCGCCGTATTCGGCCTGCCACCTCGCACAAGCGCCCAACCTCTGCTTGCTCGTCTGCAGCTGTATGGCATCGAAGAGCTCCACAAGCAAAAGACCCTTATTATGATCTGGCGTTGCTCGAATGGTCGGGCAAGCAATGCACTGCAAGCCCTTCTGGAGCATCCCAGTACTCGAACAACGCGCGCGCAACGCAGCTTGGGCCTTCGAGTGCCCAAATCTGCCTCCAAAGCCGGCCACGACCGTCCAACCGCTCGCGGGTCCATTTTATGGAACACCCTGCCATCCGACGTGCGTGGTATTACCCAGCACCACCAGTTCAAACAAGCCTGCCTCCCGTTCTGTCTTGCTAGAAGTAGCACCCACTACTGAACACTACAGGAATTTTTGAACGTTTGCGGTACTCCACAGTACCAGTCATGTGCTGTTTACCGCCTCCCCGTTGTTGTATTCTAACGTTAACGTTATTCATTGACTGAGCGTTCTTTGCTTTGTACTACACCCTGCTATCATGTTAGGCTATTTCCTACAATATTTTACTGTTTCCATTCGCTTCCATGTAATTGGGCGACACCGCCCGTTTGGTTCTGCGAATTCAAATAAAAATGTACCTACCTACATAACACCCCACCTACCCAACCAGCAGTCCGGATTCCGTGAGAAAGACGGCACTGAGCAGCAGCTTGCCCGTCTCGTCCATATCCTCTCCACTGCGAGAGACAACGGGAAACACGTCAATGCCTGCTTTTCTGATCTAAGCAAGGCCTTCGATCGTGTGTGGCATGCAGGCCTTCTAGCAAACCTCTCCCACTATGGTGTCCAGGGCGTTGCCCTGGAGAGGTTCCGACGGTACCTGTTGGGGCGTCGGCAGAGGGTCCAAGTGGATGGCGACCTATCGTCTTTCCTCGAGATCCCTGCCGGCGTCCCTCAGGGGTCTGTTCTTGGGCCGTTTCTCTTCCTCGTCTACACCATAGACCTTCCACACGCATGTGAGAATCCCGGCACCACCTGTAGCCAATTTGCAGATGACACCGCTCTGATTTCCATAGCGAGAGCTCTTCAAGACTGCACCCGAAACCTACAACAGAGTGTCACAGCAGCTGGAGACTGGCTTCAAAGATGGCACCTACTGGTTAACACAAAGAAAACAGTCATCCTCCCGTTCTACCACAATAACCGCCGAGCCCCCCCCCCCCCCAGTGAACAGCTACCCCAGATCATCATCATCATCATCCGCGTTGCCGAAAAAATAATAAAAGTAAAATATAAAAAATAATAATAAACGGCATTATGCAGCTGTGTAAGCAGTAGATGCACAGTGCGACTGCCAGGCATCTCTGTCAGATGCCAACTGGCAATTCTCATGCAGAGACATACCAGTCCACGAAACGATGTCAGCAAAGGAAATCTTCGGACGACCACGCTTTCTCTTACCATCCACGACACCAAACATCACGTCACGTACAAGCTTGCAGCCAGATGGGCGGCATGTGTGCCCGAAATAGGTCAGTTTGCGTATCCTGACCCTGGCTAGCAGCTGTCTCTGTACTCCCAACTCCACCAGGATACTGTCATTTGTGCGCTTCTCCATCCAGGATACTCTGAGCAGACGTCGGTAGCACCACATTTCTGCTGCCTGTATTCGTCGTTCATCTGTCTTCCGCAGAGTCCAACTCTCAGCTCCATACAGCAGGACAGACCACACTAAGGCATGCATTATCCGGATTTTCAGCTGTCTGGAGATGTTGTGGTCTTTCCAGATGTCAATTAACTGCAGCATACGCTCTTTCGCCATGGCAATTCTTGACCGAATATCGAGGCTGCAATCACCGTTTGTTGTCTTCCAGGATCCCAGATACTTGAAACTGCTCACCCCTGCAATTCGTTCTCCGTTGACCACAAGGGGCGTTGGAGCAGTATCGTTTGCACCAGCAGTACAGGTTCCGATATGCATGATCTTGGTTTTGGACAGATTCAGTGACAGGCCCTTCTCTCTTCCAGCGTCATTAACAGCATTGGTGAGGGTAGACACTTCTGATGGATGTGCACACAATCCCGTGTCATCTGCATATCGTAGGTTCGACAGCCGGCGTCCTCCGATTCTCACACCGATACTGTCCACATCAGCAACACGCATAAAACTTCCAGTGTACAGGCTAAATAGATGTGGGGACAAAATACAGCCCTGCCGAACACCCTTCTTGATGGCGAACTCCGGCGAATGCGAGCCATTCCATCTGATAACTCCGCTCATCCCTGTGTAAAGATTCTGAAGCAAACAAACTATGTGGCTGTTAGATAGGAATACATACATTATAATGACATGCACATGTACTTGACTTGTTACACCAGCCTCACCGTCTATCCTCTTTTACATGCACTACTAATACTATACTATGCGCTGTATTCATGTATTGTTCCCACACACTTACGAGGTTGACCTTAGATAGCCCACTGGAGACCTTTTGATGCATTTCACTTTCAGCCACCCTTTTAGTTATCTACACTAACAGCTGTACATACATGTACATCCTAATGCCCCTTTCAACAGTTGTCCTCCTGGTATTATTGCACGCCTACATGTATACGATGTATTGTACACCCTTCTATTCAGTTCTTCCTCTACAACATATTCCTCTTGCACAGGTGCCATGTCCCGACCTTTCCCCTTCTTCTGCCCACACAATCATGTACCTTGTAGTTTGACCTTTCTTCTTACTTCTCTCTGCTCTACGTATCCCCTGACCATAGGCTAGCTTACTTACTCACCATATAAAAGCTGCTGCCTTTCTAGTTTCCTGCGGATTAGTTTCTTGCCGATTAAGATCAGTTCCTACCTCTTAGATTCATGCTAGAGAACTCTTTCTCTCTCTCTCGGAATAAGTGTGCAATTCTGTATGATAACCCTTATCCATTACTGTAACCGCTTGCTCTACCGACTGAGTGAACCCGGGACTTAACAGTGGCGAGGGAAACCAAAACCCAAAAGGCAACCGAAAAGATGTGAGTGGTTAACTGTGTCAAAGGCTTTACGATAATCGATAAAAACAATGGATACAGGATTCTGCCATTCAAGAGATTTTTCGATACTGATTTGCAGAACACAGAGCATATCTACAGTACTGCGACCAGCTCGAAAACCAGCCTGCTCATCTGGTAACTCAGCCTCTATCTTCTTTTTCATACGATTCAAGATTATTGTCAGAAGGATCTTGCTTGCATGTGACATCAAAGCAATGGTCCGATAGTTGGAACACTCCTTAGCTGATCCAGCTTTGGGTAGCATGACGATTTCTTGACGTTTCCATGCTTTTGGCCATCTCCCTGTTTTCCAAATTTCCAAACAAAGTTTATGTAGGAATAGAACACAAACTGAGGATGCATGCTGAATCAGTTCCGCCACGATCCCATCAAGTCCAGGGGCTTTCCTCTTCTTCAGGGACAATATGGCTTGCTCAACCTCAGCCAACAGAGGCACAGGTTCAGGGATAATTAGTGGCGATGGAAGCTCTTCCGCACCACTCTCCGCCGAGGCCGGACACGTATACCCTTGATCTCCTGACGGCTGCCCAAATAGCTGCTGCCCATATTCACACCACCGCATGCAATACATCTTCCTTCTCCGTCAGGGTTGTGCCATCAGCAGCATTGATACATGCTTGATTTGACCGGAACGATGATTTTTTAATGGATTTAATGGTGTTGAATACGAAGTAGTGGTTGCGACTTCGGCGATGATTTGTACGAAAGGGTTTGCTCCCCACACCGGAGCTCGCGCTATTCCGCCGACTTTTCTTGACACTTGACTGACTCACGACTGCCATCCAGAGCACACCAGAAGTCCATCGAACCTTCGACTCGGCAAACCTGCAAGAAAGCACCACTCCTGGTGTTGAATACCTCTCGGATATCATGGTTCCTCCCAGAAGATTCAATGTGTTTACATTTATCCTCTAACTACTTTCTCCTGTCACAGCGAATCCTTCGGCGCACTTCTAGTTTCAGATCATTGTATTCTTGGTCCTTACCGGTGCATCTGGCTATACGCTTTCTTTCTGCCAGAGCTATCACCTCCTCACTGATCCATGGCTTGGGAGGCTTTTTCCTTACTCTGCGCCCAACTACTTCCTCCGCAACCTCCGTAATTCCCGCTTGAATCTGATCCCACAATTCATCTGGTGTGCATTCCTCATTGTACCGGTCCTGCAGCAAGCTGAAACGATTCTCAGTCGCCACTGAATACTTTTCCGAGACGTCAGGATTCCTCAACCTCGTCACGTCGAACGGTCGCACAGCCATAGACTTGCATCGAACCCTACGGAAATGCTTGGTGCGTAACTTCATTGTAACTAGATGGTGATCAGTGTCACATTCAGCGGCGGGGCGAGCTCTGGAATCCAGCACACTTGAGAACCACGATTTGCTGATCATGACATAGTCGATTTGATTACGGGTGTGACCATCAGGAGATATCCATGTATAGCGACTGCGCAGATTATGCTGAAAAGCTGTGTTACAAACGACCAAGCCATTAATCCTACAGAACTCAGCCAGCATGTCCCCACGTTCATTGCGCTGTCCAAGGCCATAGTCCCCAACACCGCTTTCAAAGTCTCTCCCAAGTCCCAACTTGGCGTTGAAATCGCCCATGACTACACATACCTGACGGCTCTTCATGGCGTCTATGACAGCTTGCAATTTTTCATAGAAATCATCTATTTCCTCCGCCGCGCATGACGAGGTCGGCGCGTACACTTGAATGATGGTAATAGGGACATGAGTCGCCTGTATGCGCACCACCAAGAGACGATTTGATACTGGGGTATACGATAATAAACTGTTCTTCACCGCTGCGCTCAGAACGACAGCCACTCCGCCATATCCACCGTCTGGCGAGCCGCTTGAAATTACCAACTTGTCACCGCTGGCGAAATGGCCTTCTCCGCTCCAACGCGTTTCACACAGACCAAGAACATCCAGCTTGAGTCGTTCCATTTCCTTCAGCAAAAGATGTAGCTTGCCCAGCTCTCGCAGAGTTCGAACATTCCATGTCCCGAACTGATACGCTCGTGAGTTTTTCCGTCCTTTTTTTTGTTGGTCTCCTCCAACTCCTTTGCTGACCGTTTCGTGGACCGGCTCTCTCAAAACTTTCTTCATGAAACAAAACAAACCCCAGAGCACCGCTCGCCCACTACTCCACAGTCTTTGGCAAGAATATAACAAGCACAGTAGGTTGCCATTACTTTCTGTGCTACCGATATGCACCAAGAGAGCGGAGCACCAAAAAGTGCAACCGCTCTCCACCAGCGCACATCTACCCTAGATCACCCTCAGGAATAGTCCGCTTACCGTAGCACAAAAACACAAACATCTCGGAATAATCTTTCAGCATGACCTCCGTTGGACGGAGCATGTTGAATACATAGCCAAAAAATCACTCAAGTCTTTCAATATTCTTTTTAGACTAAGGTCTACACTCACCAGTGATTCTTTATCTCACATCTATCAGACATACATACTACCTATATTCTCATATGCGAGCAATGCTCTCACACCGTTGTCACACACTTCCCTTGACAGGCTAGAACGACTCCAGCGGAAAGCCGCCAGAATGTGTCTCCACCTTCCCCTTTACACACACTTAGAACACTCCCACCTTTCGCATCGCATGAAATAGCCAACATTATTTTCACGCTTTAGAGTTAAACATATACTCTTCGCGCATTCTCTGCGCCACAATTATGCCCCACCACATAATACTCTCGCTGCATACTGCTAGCAACGTGCAACCTTCGTATAATTAATTATTTACGTCGCTCTCGTACTTGGCACTTGCCAACTCCGAGGACTGATCGCCGTCTCCATTCTCCCCTGTACAAGGCCCTTCATTACTTTAATTGCTTGCCCACCCAGCTTCGCGAAATCCCTTCTCGTACTCTCCTCAAATCCCAGATATCCCTGCTGTTGCACAACTCTGTATGCTCGTGTAGCGACCATCCCTGCCCGTACACGTTAGTAGTCATCTTGCGCGGTCGGCCACGCTTCGGCCGGGCACGGCGCATTTGCTCGCCAAGTAAACTCAGCGAGGAGTTACAATACTTAAAGTCTGTGTTTCTAAAGAACGGATACCCTGAAGATGTACTCAATAAACTAATGAAAACAGCAGACAAATCGAAAGAAGTGAGTGTTGGTCCTGCTCGATGCCCAATTTATCTTTGTTTGCCTTGGAAAGGAAACACATCGCTGACCATGTGCCGCGCAGTCAAGACGCTAGTAATGAAAACATACTTCGCAGCACATTTCATTCCTGTATTCACGACGATACGTGCGTTCATGGTGAGGAAGGACGTCCTACCATCCCATCTTTTGAGCCATTTGGTAATCTTGTTACCTTTTTTGCGTTTCCTCTAGTGGTTTTATTGCACTTGTATCTTGATGTTATTTCTAACACCTTTCTATTTACAGTACTTAACTTCAGTTTCTTTGGTTGTATCCTTGGTTCCGTTTTTTTCCCACTGATGATAGGAACGAGAAAATCGATTCTGGGTTTTCAATAATATTTTTGTTATAAAATACACAGTAATACATGTCAAACAAGTAACGTAGTTGCGTGATGTCTGCGGCCTTCATCCTCATATCATAGCTATATTAAAATTATTATCTCCATGTAGGTTATTTGTATATTTAATTTGAGTGTCCAAAAATAGCAAATGACCTCGTAGAGTACATTTAGAAAAGCGATCCTGTCAGCTTTTCTATTATTGTGTTCACATGGCAGAAAAAACGACATCGCTATGCTACGTAAGTTTCTACGTAAGGTGCTCGGTATTTCACTTAGGCTACGTAAGTCTCTACGTCAGGTGCTCGGTATTAGATCTACCAACGCGTGGTAGCCGTGTGCTGTGCACGTGCACGGCAGACATTGTGTTCAGTGCATGCAGTCCGCGGATCCGTGTTCGGATGTGCATGCGCGAGGAACTATTACTTCCTTCTTTGGAACTGCTTCCAAAAGTTGTATCGACATCAACAGGATTACGATTTCAGTTTCAATATTTTGCTGGATGACCTTATCACGATAACCCATGACTATAAACCATTATAAACACAGAATCAACAAAAACATCTGCGACACGCACCTGCCGCATGGCTACATTTCTCAAATAAATCTGATCGAGGGTGGAGTAATCTGAAATATCTGAAAGGCAAGACAATTTTATGACAGAGTCATGAAATTCTGCAACAGCAACATGCACAGAATGACCTCCGTATAAAAAAAGTATCACCACCACTGCTCACATGTTTCCCCGCAGAAGAACATGCATTATACTAGTGCCATTTTCTGCAAGAAAAGGCTTGCACATCAATGCGAATAATATTAAATATGGTATTGATATGATGTGAAGGCCATCATTTACATATTGATAAAGGGCATTCCATTGATTGGTGACAGAAAAAAAGAAAAGAAATTATAGCAATAAAAACTGCTTTATGGCAGTTTTCTAAAAAACGTTATTGTGTTCTAGTCCATGGACCCCGTCTAAAAAGTAAGAAATTAACGAAATGTGATAGCTGAAAATTAAAATTTCACACAAATCCCCTCACAATAATCACACACAGAATGAAAAGCTACATGCAGAAGACCTTTTCCCCTCGCGATCCTCTTTCCTATGCATGCATGTTGCCAATTGTTGGTGCAGTACAAGTTTAGTGTTGAAAGCAGGGAGTAGTATTGTACTACTCCCTGGTTGAAAGCAGCATTTCAAGTGTTGTGATTATTGTGAGGTTTTGTGTGAAATTTTAATTTTCAGCTATCACATTTCGTTAATTTCTTACTTTTTAGACGGGGTCCATGGACTAGAACACAATAACGTTTTTTAGAAAACTGCCATAAAGCAGTTTTTATTGCTATAATAGTATTAGACCCGCCCTGTTCATCCACGATCAGCCAAATGTACAGTCTGTTGCTGAGTTGTACACCAGACCACACACAAGCAGCTACTACAGTGTCTACATTGTCAAGTTGCTCAGTGACGTCATGTCATTATGGTGACATGTGTTTGGCAACAACCAGTTATAAAAATAGAATTTTACGACAATCAGATTGACAACACCAACACCACCCTGGTCTGTATGGGACTGTACCCTAAGACATGATGTCATCAGCTCATTGTCCGTGTTTGATGAGAAGAGCGTAGCATTCTGACGAGTAGGTTGTGGTGTACTTAGTAAAAAAATTAAAAAAAATTGAATCGTGATTGGTTACAGGTAGTGTTGTTACGTGGTAATGGGGTAGGTCCCCCATTATGTGTGTAGTCTACATGTGTGAATGTGATTCTTGTCACCAATGTAAACAACACCTGTTATGGTCTCGGTCTGTGCAGAGCGCGACGACATCGTGCAGACTTTAGGCCCAGACAGATCCTGCCGGTAATTCTTTCGGCAAAATATCGAAGAATTTAAAGAGCGGAAAATCCCAAATGCCAAATGTTGTGAACCCTCTGGTTCTCTAAAGTATCAGGAACGAACGACCCCACACGGCACGAGGACAACTATTTATTCTCAGTATATTATTTTCACTTCCATCGACTAACAACAATGAAATGAATGAACAACTGAATAACTAACACTAAAAACCACCAGGTAGTTATAGCGTGAAAATGACAGCGTATATTTAGAAAAGCGATCCTGTCAGCTTTTCTATTATTGTGTTCACATGGCAGAAAAAACGACATCGCTATGCTACGTAGGTTTCAACGTAAGGTGCTCGGTATTTCACTTAGGCTACGTAGGTTTCTACGTAAGGTGCTCGGTATTAGATCTACCAACGAGTGGTACAGCCGCGTGCTGTGCACGTGCACGGCAGACATTGTGTTGCAGTGCAGTGCAGTCCGTTTTCGGATGTGCATGCGCGAGGAACTTCCTTCTTTGGAACTGCTTCTTGCATGAGCTGTTTCGGATATTTCGTGTCCTGGCTTATTTCGCTTCGGCTCTGCTGAAACCTCCTTTCACGGAACATTACTCAATGACAGGTGAGTTGACCAGTTCCCTTTGATTCATTTGCTTGTGTTGACTCTTTCATTTACGAAAAGTGTGCTGAGTTTAGGTGGAATACAATAAATAATGGAAAAGCTGCCAGGATCTCTTTTCTAAATTTAGCTTTTCTGCTGTCGAGGCCTCCTTTTACGGAATACTCAATGACAGGTGATCTCTGAGTTGACCACTTTCTTTCGATTCATTTGCTTATGCCCACCCTTTCATTTACGGAAACGTGTGCTGATTTTATTCGGATTTAGATCCACTCGTATCTCCTTGCCCTTGCCAACAGTGTGCGAAGAAAGCGAGTTCAGCTTCTTGACGGTAAGGCTTATGTTGCTGCTGAGGCTTAGATGTGTTGTAGAAATACTCATGTTCATTGTGCATTGGTACGTTACAAGTAAGCCACTGGTCATGATTGCTTCCGGCATTCCGTGCTGCGATCATAGGGTAGAATCTGAATTTTGCAGTGGCATAGCAGCGTTGGCAGTTCCCAATCTGGAGGGAAAGGTTTAAGGACGCATTGGCCGAGTATGCATAATAAATTCGCATATCAGCGAATATCTCCAGTATGAAGAGGTTCATGCATTCAGTGACTTGTTTGCTTCATACGAAACAAGCCAATGGGTGCAGTCTCGTCTCGTGAAAATCTCGTACGATTGGATTTGTTTACTCGAGTCTGGGCTGTTTGATTTGTGAGTAGCGCCGAGATTGCACTGCCCCAAATAAAGTTGCGTGCCGGCAGAGCAAGAATTGCGATCTGCAATCTGTTTGTAGTACCTGCAAGAATGTGCTGTGCATGTATCGTATTTTCTCTGCTGTTGTTTCAGTTGCCGTCATGTTGCTACAGAAAGGTTCAGTGACTCATTTGTTTCATACAAGACGAGTCAATGGTTTGGTCTGGCTTAGAATCTTTCGCTGTAGAAGAAATCTATTCGTGTCTCTATTGGAGAAATACATTG